CCCAGCCCCCCCCCCCCAAGAAAAATTTCCTAGCTACGCCCCTGAATATTTCATCGTTCACTCGATTCTTCACGTTTGATTAATTTCATCACTTTGTTTGATCGGTAACTGTGTTCCAATATTATGCTAATTCCAGTCAAATGCTAGATTTTTACTAATTTATCCGCCCGTCCAAACTTGTCCCAGGAACGTGAGACCTCTGTTTCGTGGAGACGGGAACAGTGAAAAAACTCCCAAGCTTCATTCCCGAGATTCGATCCTAGGACAAAAATCTCACTTATAAAGTTGGGGAAAATATTGAGTCAGTCAATACGTACTTATCATGGTATCAGGTAGAGTCCTTTGTAGGGTCCTGAGAGCGACCCAAAGAGAAGGACAAAAAAAAATGTAGCTTTGTTTATCGTGGAAAAACCTAGAAGTTTCATTCCTGCGATTTGAACTTAGGGTAAATCCTGGGTACCCACTAACTTTAGAGCCAGGTAAGAACCTCGCTAACTTTAGAAGAGGCAGTTAAGAACCTCCTGTAAGCAGACGCCTTGCACAGGTAGGTACATGAAATTGTATGATGACAAAATGAAGGCGTTTTCTCGGTAGTTAATTTGAAATAGAAACCTCCCAAAATCTTCTTTCTCAACTATTCCTTATAGAAGGAAGGTAAAACACGTTGTTATACTGTAAATTTGTTTCCCTATAGCTGTTTCGCTCNATGGGGGGGGGGGGGATTCTGCGAATGGAATGTGAATCAAATAGGTAGCTTGTCGTTGTCATTTCCTTAAAAAAAAAAAGTTACCTCACATTGAAACCCGCTAGGTTTATTTCTATGAGCAATTTCTACTGGAATGTTTTATTTGCTAAAAATTTGATTTATAAATAATCTAAAATCTTCAACTAGGTTACAAAGCAGATTTTTTTTTTTTTTTTTTTTTTTTTTTTTTTTTTCTTTTCTTCGAAATTTTGATAATTAAAAGTATCTTCCTACATTGGGCTTCATTCTCAGCTTTAATTTCTTCAATTGTCACGGCCGTCACTGTCATGACCTCGTAGGTAACTATGGAACGCCGTTAGTGTCAAAACCCTTTTCTTGCGCGCGCGGAATTTTTTTTTCGGCGCGCGGGAAGAAAAAACCCGTTTTCGATGAAAATCTCTGAATTTCCGGAATCCGCGCCGGTTTTCGATATATTTGCGCCGTTTGTGTCAAAACTATTTTTTCCGGCGCGGCGCTCCAAATCTGTTCCGCGCGCAGAATTTTCGATATATCGATTCCTGCTCGCCGATCGTGTCAAAACTGTTTTTTTCTGCGCTGCACCAGAAAATAATATTTCCGCGCCCCACTTTTTCGATATATCGATTTTTCTGCGCGCGGAGAATATTATCTCTCTTTTGAACGATTTCCATTAAACCGTTGGAAGGGAAAAAGTGCAGTGTTGCCGAAAATTTAAATTTATTTATTCCTGAATCCAGAAAGTTTGCTCTATTGAATTTGTTCATATTCAAATTCCCACTCATTGCTTTATTAGTTCATTTAAGTAGTAGCTGTATAAACTTCACGCTGCTTTACGTTGACCATCTTTTTCAGGTATTAGTCAATTATAAATTACTCCATTATAACTTTTTTCTATTAGGTAAATTGTCGGCAACACTGCACTTTTTCCCCTCAAACGGTTTAATGGAAATCGTTCAAAAGAGAGATAATATTCTCCGCGCGCAGAAAAATCGATATATCGAAAAAGTGCGGCGCGCGGAAATATTTTCTGGTGCAGCGCCAGGAAAAACAGTTTTGACACGATCGGCGAGCAGGAATCGATATATCGAAAATTCCGCGTGCGGAACAGATTTGAAGCGGCGCGCCGACAAAAATAGTTTTGACACAAACGGCGCAAATATATCGAAAACCGGCGCGGAATCCGGAAATTCAGAGATTTTCATCGAAAACGGGTTTTTTCTTTCAGCGCGCCGGAAAAATATTCCACGCGCCAGATAAAATTCCGCGCGCGCAAGAAAAGGGTTTTGACACTAACGGCGTTCCATAGGTAACTCCCATTCTTCAATTTAAAAGTTGCAAGAAGGTGGAACCCTACTACTGTAGTTTAGAAAACCGCCACCACGTGGCGCTTCTCCGAAATCTGTCGTTTTTTCTATGTTTTTCGATGCATCTGGGCGATTTGTTCAGACATTAGCCAGACTTGCGAAATTTTCTCAACGTTACTACAAAGATTATAGTATGCTGAGTAGTTACGTACAATCAGTTTCATGACAAAATTGACTCAAACTGCAAAGTCGATGCTCTAAAATTTGGAAATATTTCCGGGGCAAGCACCCCAGAACCAGAACTCTCTTCCGCCAGCCACCCCCCTCCCTCCCGGTTCGAAGTGTCTGGATCCCAAGTTCGAATCGCAGGAATGAAACTTATTCTGGGATTTTTCCTAGTTACCGTCTCCACGGGACGGGGCTCATACAGTCCTGCGACTAGTTTGCGCGGGAAGATAAATGAGTTTAAGTCGAGTATTTAACCGGGATTAAATTAATAATTGCACTCAATTGACAATTAGACACATTATTTTAACTAAACAGACATTAACATTTAACAGTGTAGTAATGAATAAAATATCGCACAATTCGTTTTCACTTCTTCTTCTTCTCTCAGTGGGTCCTAGGGGTACAAGGTACAAGTACCATACTTGGTACTGGGAAAAATATTGATTAACTCAATATTTTTCCCAACTTCGTAAGTGGGATTTTTCCCTGGGACAAATCTCGTGAAACGGCTCGTGGAGACAAGGCCTTATGCGGCAAAACCTAGAGACCAGGGGCGGACTGGCCATGGGGCGGGGAGGCGATCGCCTCCTAACAATTTGGCGATTTTTCTCGAGTCATCGTTTTCCCCCGTAATGTTGTAATTTTCCAATATTTTTCAGTCACTTCAAGGCCCCAAAATCTTTGAAAATTTGCCTCTAAGAAACATAAAAGGTCGCCGAAAGCCTATAATACAGAATATAAGGGGGAAATCTAGTGGGCTCCTGGGGCCCCAGAAGTGATAGGGGCCCCTGAAGAATCCTGAGAATACATTATCTTGAAGTCCAAATATTCTTGAATTTGACTACAAAAATGCTTAAAATTGCGTTTTTAAAGAGTAAAAGTTTGAAATTTTTCCGGGGTAGGCCCCCCAAACCCACCAGAGAGGGGCCCCCGAACGACAGGAGGGGCCCCCAAATTTAGGCCGCCTCCTGACTTTTCGATTGCCAGTCCGCCCCTGCTAGAGACACCTATTAAGAGCAACGGCTAGGTGGCAGGTACCTAACAAATGGGGTAGTAAGGAGGGAGGAGAGAGGGGCTGGAGTGGAAAATTCACACACCCCCGCGGCCCGCGGCGCGATGCAACCTCGCGCGGCAGGGCGCCTTTGCGTAGGAGAGAGAAATTATGTCATCGAAGCAGCCAACAGGACTACCAGGCGTCTAAACTGACCGCGTGCGGTGCGGGCGGGGTGGTGGCGGGGCAGTGGAGAGAAAAGATGAGAGAATGATCAGCCGCGCAGCGAAGGAGAAATGGTGAGAGGGGAAATAGCCCTCGGACTGCACCAACTCTCGGAAGAGGGGAATTCGAACGTTCGTCCGAGCCGTCACGATCGGTGCCTAAAGCCGCTTTTCTCAATGGAGTATCGTGATTATTGAAAGATATTTGGCACGTCCGCGCGCACGGGCCGTTTGAATAAGCCCAGACCCAAAATTGAAGATTCTCATTACGGCGTACATATTTTCGGGTGCTAATTTTCATTTAAGGTTAACATCGATTGTAGCTGCATAATCCTGAGGATGTTATGTACTTTGTAGTAACGTTGAGACATTTTTATAATACTCAATCCTGACTTCACAAATTAATGAGAAGTGACGAAAGATGACATGTTTTAAGATCACCGACTGTGGCGCCATCTCTTAGAATTTTTTTTGAGAGCTTTATGTAGGT